AGGGTGGCGGGGTGGCGGATGAGGCGGTCGAGGGCGCTGACGATGTCGGGGAAGCGGGGCCGGGCGTTGCGGTCGCGTTGCCAACAGTCCAGCATCAGGCGGTGCAGTGCCGTGGGGCAGCGGGGTGGCGGCGGCAGCCGGTAATCCTGCTCGATGGCGTTGATCACCTGGGAGATGACGATGACGATAGGGACGTGGGGACATGCGCTCAGGGGACCCGGGCGTCCAGGGGGGACCCAGGGGCTCAGGGGACTCCCTGACCTGCCAGGGATCCCGGCGTCTGGGGGGGAACCAGGTGTCCGGGCGCGACAGCTGGGTCCCCTCCCACGCTAATTACCCCCTAATTACCTCCAGCTGTCCCTAACAAGGCTCCAACTGCCCCCACCCGCACCTGGGTCCTGGACCCTGGGTCCCACGGGTCGATCTACCCCCGCAGGGGGACAGAGGGGGTCCGGGGCGACTCACATCCTGGTTGGACATGTCCCAGTAGGGTCGCTCGCCGAAGGACATCACCTCCCACATGACGATGCCGTAGCTCCAGGCGTCGCTGGCCGAGGTGAACTTGCGGAAGGCGATGGCCTCCGGCGCCGTCCACCGGATCGGGATCTTCCCCCCCTGAGGACAGGGAGATCGTGGGGGAACCCCAACGCCCACGCGGGGGGATCCTGGTGTCTGGGCGAACCCACCCCCCCGAGGGACCCGGGCGTCCAGGAGACCCCAAATCCCTGAAGGACCCCAACACTGGAAAGTCCCCAGCCCTGGAGGAACCCCGTCTTCCAAGGGATCCCACTGTCCCAGCCCTGCTGGCACCCAGATATCTGTGGAACCCCAACCCTGGTGGGACCCCATCCTTGCTGGGACCCCAGCCCCGGCAAGACCAAACCCTGGAGAGACCTCAACCCTGGTGGGACCCCAACCCCGGAGGTACCCCAACCCCGGAGGTACCCCAACCCTGGCAGAACCCCATCGGCACCGAGGACTCGGGCAGCCCCCCGTGGGGGGTGAGCTCACCAGGGAGCTGGTGTAGGTGGGATCAGCCGAGCTCTCCTCCTCCAGGGCGCGGGAGAGCCCGAAGTCAGAGACCTTGCAGACCAGCTGGGCGTCCACCAGGATGTTGCGGGCGGCCAGGTCGCGGTGGACGAAGCCGGTCTCGGCCAGGTACCGCATCCCGGCCGCGATGCCCCGCAGCATGGCCACCAGCTGCAGTGGCCCCAG